CGGCGCAGGCACGGGCTCGGCTTTTATGAGGGCCAGAGGCATGGGGCGCACGCCATCTGAGCGCATCAGGGCGGAGGCGGACTCGGCGACGCGGTGTCCATGCCGAACACGAGCTGGAGGAGGATGACGCAGCTAACAGGTGGGCCAGGGCTGTCAACGAGAGGGAAAGGAGGGCGCGGCGCGACGTGCGGTTTGCTGGGCCACGACCGGGCGCTGTGGGAGAAATGGAGCGCGCAGACGAGATTGGGCCGGCGCTCGCTGGGCCGCGGGAAAAAACCGAAGCAGAAGAGAGGCAGGCCGCGCGGAAGCTGGCTGCCGGCCGAAAGCAGGGAAGGGGAGGAAGAAAAATTCATTTTCCTTTTCTAATTTTCCAAACCAAATTTTGAAATGCAAATTCAAATCAATTTTGAAGTTTGATTTCAAATTACACAATTCAAAAATATATCCAGCAGGATGAATGCATAGACATGTAGGTAAACCTTATATTTGATTTTAATTTGATAAAATTTATTATTTTTCTATGTTGCATGCACACACTATTGCTTAAATAAATTCAATTCATCTATTTAAAAGTGATGCAAATTCTAGGGTGTTACACTTGCTCAAAAATATTTTCAAAATTTATTTTGAAAATTAAAGTCATTTGAGCTCTATTTAAATTCCCTTCTTATTTATTCTATCTCAAGTATATTTCTTTGTTCCCCGTCTAAATATATATCCCTCCTATCGCACCAATAATATCTCCAGCCGCCCCCCCCGCTCTCATGGCCTCAGCTCCTCACCTCGCCTGACACCGCCACGGCGCCGCCCCGCCACTACCGCCACGGCGCACCCGTGCCGGACCCCCTTGCCGACCATGGCTGTCCGCTCGCCACCACGCCATGTGGGCCCCACCCTTCTGTCGCGTCGTCCACGTTGTGGGCCCACCTCCCATTTTCTTCTCCCTCCTCTCCTTCTACGGAGCACACAGCGCAGCACACACTAGCACACACTCGTACACGAAAACGCAGCCCACAGCAGAGCAAGCTAACCACGCACGTCGCCCTGCTCCACCCACGTCGCTGCGGCCGTCCTCGACCGGCCTTGTCCGCCTCGTCTCGCGCGCCGTCAACGCGGCCGTCGCCTCAGCGCCACCGCTCCGCTACACGCCGCACCACCCATCGTCCTTCGCTCTGCAGGTAGCAGCACCATTTATGGCGAGCAGGTGAGCCGGTGGCACAGCTCGCTTCTTCGGCCTTTAAAAAGCGACACCGGTGCCCTTCCACCACCACATCAAGCAGCCGAGCTTGCCTAGCTCCTCCTTGCGCTGCTCCAATTTCTATCTCTCTCTGCTCTGTTCTTCAGTAAAGTCTGTCGCCCCGTCGATCTCCGCGTCCGAACTACAATAAACCGAGGTGGGCAGCCACCATGCATCCCCTACCTCTGCTCCCCCTCCCCGTGTTCTCGGATTCGAGAACTGTGGCCAATATCGCCAGCTAGCCGAGCCTCCGCAGCTAGCAATGGCGGACGAGCACGAACGCCTGAACGTGGTCGCTGCTCTCTCTCTCTGTCCTATCTCCAGTACAACCTCTCCCTCTGTTGTCTCTTTACTGTCCAAAATGCTAGCGCCACGCACAAGCAAGCAGCAGCCCAATGGGCATGTCGTGAGGTCCAAATACCACTCCCAGCCACGTGCACTGTTCCTTTTTGGACCAAACGAACAGCCACCTCCTACTGCATCCGACCTCCGATTCCAAAGATTCTTCTTCCTATATTTATCTAAAATCGATATCTATCTCCCATACAAATTTCATCATTTTTGAGCTCATTTGAATTTATGTGATCATTCAGCTACGGAGGGTAATGGCTCTTGTGGATCTGTACTTGTACAACGGTATCAACCAGATGGGTTGGGATGAGTGGAAACATGAGTTTGTGTGATTTTAGAAATGAATGGGTACCGGTTATGTGTTGTGGGAACAGAGTGTTCGGCAGCACTTAAAATCGTGACAAACTCCCGCACTTAAAATCATGACAAACCCTCTTTTTAGAATTTGTTTGCCTGTACAGTTGTTTGTGCGCTTCTAGCTGACGGAGTGAACGAGAGGAGAACGAGGACGTCGGAGATTAGTACCACGAGTTCAACACCGAGGCCCCGAACTACCAGCAGAGTTTCTCGAGGAGGTCGACGAAGAGAAGTTTAATTTAATCCCCTTTGATGCATGTTGATCTCATACAACCTGTAGAAGCCGTTTTAAATATTGCACGTACGATTATACGTACGAGGTATTTTCATTGTTTAGCTAAAACCCGTTTGAATAGCCATTCCTGAATTGATATTACCTTGTAAATGTCTTGTTCAAACCTAGGAATAAATATTATGCTATGACAAAATATTATTGTTTAGCAATGTCTAGGACTCGGTATCCATCATAGATACTCATCAATATGATTTCTCATGCAATTATTTTAAATGAAAACTATGTGAGTGGTGAGGATAAGTTATGGGTTTTGTGAAAGGGTTAATGAACAAGTTATAGATGATGATTACTTTAAAGATGGGGCAGATCAGATCCCTTTTGTGGGATGTCGTGGTGTTGTGGCTTGTACTTTTTGTGGTTAAGCATGAAGATATCCGTCTTGTATCGATTAAGGACTGAGCTAATGATTCATCTCACCTAACTCTTTATCATACAACCACTCGACCTTGTATGTGGCAAGGCTTAGTCTAAATCCTCCTAGTTGGTATGGCAATCACTTGGAGACAGGTGTGCAACAGGACACTAAGAGATGTATATAGAAACTGAGGAATTGTATGAAATGTAATGAGCTCTGTAAATAGTTGTATTATGATATTGTTGCCTTAGTGTCCCTGTGGTGAGCGCCAGAATTCAGCTATGGAGGGTAATGGCTCTGATGGATCTGTACTTGCACGACGGTGTTAAGTTATGGTATCCTACTTATGGTGAAAGTCTACGATATCTGTAGAGTGTAAAATTTATCCAGATAGCCGTGTCCACAGTCTCGAACGGGTTATGGTTTGGTTTCAACAACTAGATGGGTTGGGATAAGTGAAAACATGAGTGTGATTTTAGAAATGAATGGTTATTGGTCATGTGTTGTGGGAACAGAGTGTTCAGCAGCACTTAAAAATCGTGACAAACCCCCTTTTTATAATTACATTTATATATATGAAAAATAGATGACTTTTGCAAATGTATTTATGAAATGAAACCCAGCAAGTGTCTAAAGATAGCTTTATGCAAATAAAACCAAGCCTTACCTTTGATATATCCATATGCATGTATTGTGATTCCCTTCCATTGGGTAAGGTTAGACTTTCTGAGTATTTTGTACTCACCCTTGCTTTGTTGAACAGAGGAAAATCCGGACTTCAATCCTAAAGCTGCGTTAGAGTAAGGTCGTGTCTGCACCCAACTAAGCCTGTGGCATTGGGACCCGTCAGATGTTTGACTGCAATTCCTTTTGTTTCTGGATCTTTTGGACCTATATTATGTTCTGCTTACTTCAAATCGTGGCATGTCTTCATTGTCCACGCTTGTCGAGACTACTACACTGAGACTTATATGATGTAATAAGTATGTTACTAAACTCCTGGGACTAGTATTTGTATCACATTTGAGTTTCTGAATGACCAGGGGCGCTACACAAGGCTGGCGGTGGTGGGGCGGTAGGGACGAAGAGCTTCGATTCATATTAGAGAACGGCGTGGTTAGGGTTGGATGGTGGGTGGTGCGACTGGCGACGGAGACAACGCGAGCGGGGCAGTGCTGGAGGCGGCGGGGTGGACAGGAGGTAGAAGACGAGTGGGAAGAGAAGGTAGAAGATGAACATTATAAATGAGTGACCCCCACCCTCTCCCTCACCCTTGGGCCATGGGCTGCCACTTTGTTGTAGTCTAATGGCGGTCGCACATCTCCTCTCCCCTCTAGCGTCGGCGATGACTCTTTTTCTCCTAGGCTCACACTTACGGCTACTCTCTCCAAGTGTGTTAGCACTTAAAATACAGGATAGGGTCCAGATAGGGGCCCTCGTGGAGAGATACTGTAGATAGTTTAAAGTGTTTTTTTTAGAAATGTCCTCACAAAATATATATGAGGCCCTGGCCTACTTATCAAATAGCCCTCAAAATATGTTTAATTAACTTTTAGTAAAAGTATATATGCAAAATACTTAGGTGGGAGGTCTAACTTGCAAAAGTTCCATGTGCATGAAATGTAAGATATTAGCTTATTGGTTTACGGCCGCTTAACTGTTTATTTATTTTTCCTATTCAATTACCAAAATTTAGTAATCAAGGTTGCAGTGCTATAACTAAACTTTGTTTTGGCTTAGGTCACCAAATAGTTGAACTGGGAATGATGCACAATGTTCTCGTCGAAATGTAAACAAGTTTGCCCATTCTAATATGAGTTCAAACTCGGGCAAAGTTGCAAAACTGGGACCTCTGAACCCCACTGAAAAACTCGGGCAAAGTTGAAAAACTGCCTTTGAGCTCCTAAATCTCTCCAACCATAACTTAACTTAAACTTTTCGTACCGTTGGCTGATGCTAAAATTTAGCTTATATTGATACTTATATTAAAATATTAATAAAAGAAAATACTATTTTATTACTAAAAAGTAGTTCAAAATAAGTTCAAGCGAACATGTGTTTATTAAAAAACTTAAAACCGACCACGAAGCTTCTAGCCTTCTACTAAAAATCTTGAGAAAATAGAAAGTCCTCGGGCTCGAGCTCTGAACTCGGCGGATGTCGATGGCGTGCTCGCCGCCCTGACCGGCGTCAGAGCCAAGCCGATGAAGCCGCCGCGTGTCTCCGTCGCCCTGCCGCCTTGCCACGCCACGGCCTCGCTTGTTGACACCTCGCCCACGTCCACGACGGCCTGGTGAAGTGGTGAGTGGAAAATGAAAAAAGGCGCGGGCATGGCGCTCAGGTGCTCACCAATACAAAGTTACAAACTTGACACGGGATGGCAATGGCATCGCTCTGTTTCTGTTTCATTGCAGGTTCATGGCTCTTAAGAACTCGTGCAGCGCCGTCGCAGACGATCCCTCGTCCTGCCGCCAGGCACTCGTCAACACCTCCTGGACCTCCTTGACCCGCCGCCGCATGGCCGCCGACGCCACGGTGTCCGCCATCACCGTCTCCACGGCCTCGGCCACCTTGGACCTCTCCACGGCCGAGCTCTCCAGGTTCCCGCGCGCCACCTCCGCGCACACCCCCCACTCCTCCGCCAGCATCCGCGCGTTGTAGAACTGCTCCGCAGCTATGGGCCACCCGAGGATGGGCACGCCGTGCGTCAGGCTCTCCAGCACCGAGTTCCACCCGCAGTGGCTGAGGAACGCGCGCGTGGCGGCGTGCGCCAGGATCCGCACCTGCGGCGCCCACCCGCGCACGACGAGGCCTCTGTTCTCGGCGCGCGCCCGCGCCTCGAACCCCTCGGGTAGCCACTCGTCGCGGAACGCGCCGGCGACGTCGAACCCCACGGGCGGCCGGATCGCCCAGACGAACGGCCGGCCGGTGGTTTCCAGCGCTGCGGCGAGCTCCGTCATCTGCTTGGCTTGTATGGTGTTCTGTGACCCGAAAGAAATGTACAAGACGGACGACTGAGGATGCGTGTCCAGCCACCGGAGAACGCCGCCGCCGTCGGTCTCGTCCATGCTTGAGTCGTTGCCGCAGCGGACGAGAGGGCCGATGGGCCTGACCGGAACCTTGCCGGCAGCACGGCGCATCATTGTCAGCCCCGTGCTCTCGAACTCCTCCACGGTGTTGGCGAGCACCGCGTCCGTGCGATACCCGTGCCGTATGGCCCGCTGGTAGAACGCCGTCCACCGGTCGCTCAACTCGGCGTGGAGGAGGAAGACGGGCGACAGCTGCGACCGGTGGAGCACCACGTCCGGGTACTCTGGCAGGCGGAGCAAGCCGTCGGAGCCGAAAGGCAGCGCCGGCATGAGGTTCCACAGGGCGTGAAAGATGGCCGTCCCGAACGCGCCGCAGGAGACAAAGACCGCGTGCGCGCACCCGTGCCGCCGCGCGACGCCCACCGTCCACGCGACGAACACATCGGCGACGATGCAGATGTCCGCCTCGCCGCCGCTCTGTCCGCGGAGGCCCGACACGTAGTCGTCGAAGGCGGGCTCCAGGGACTCCAAGGCCTCGAAGAGCGTGACGAACGATGGCAACGGGAGGGAGCTGGTTGACTCGCAGCCGACGGGCAGGCCGTGGTCGGCCGGGACGAACGGCAGAGCGTGGAAGCCGATAGAGATAGTGGTGGCCGACGAGGAGGAGCGCAGGGCGGCGACGTTGCGTGGAGTGGAGACGAGCGTGATGGCGGCGTCCGGGAGCTCACGGGCGAGGAGGCGGGCGATGGCGAGGAAGCTTGCGTGGTGGCCCTGACCAGGGAAGGGGAAGAGAACGACGTGTTTGGTTGTCGTGGTCGCCATGAATGGAATGCGGATGAGGCCACTGAGCTGAGGTAGCTATCCTTCCACTGATTGGACGGGACGAACGCCAGGGAGCACAGCTGATATTAGAGCTCGGCTCCAGTGATTTGTTGTTAGAAAAAAATATTATAGTTTATAGCTGATAAGCTTAAACGGACAGATCGTCGAGGGACGTGGATGGTCATCTCATGTAGTCATGTGTGCAAGCTTTAACTTTATTACATGCCACGATAGGTCAAACACCTTCAAATTTAACGAGTACTCTCTCAATTATAACTCGCGTTGATTTTTTTTTTGTTATCTCTAATTTATATGTATATAATAATATATCTAGATACATAGTAAAATAAATAAATTAAAAAAGTCAAAGTGACTTATAATTTAAAACGGATGAAGTAGAAGACACTATCTAGATCAGTAATTCTAAATAAATTTATTACTCCCTCCGTTCTAAAAATTATAAGTCACTTTGACTTTTTTGATATATCAATTTTGCTATACATCTAGATATAATAATATGTTTAGATGCAGAGCAAAATGAATATATAAAAAAAAGTCAAAGCGACTTATAATTCGGAATGGAGGGAGTATAAAATATATTCTCCTATCAATACAATGATGCTTATTACAATCATATGCATTAGTACTTTTGTATATATAGTTGTTTATTAAAATTAAAAGGTTTAACTTCTCAATAGGTGATAGGTGTACTTATTTTGGGATAGAGTAGAAAAGAAGGTGTCGCTTTTATTCAATTAATAGGACTATGTAACACCCTCGATGTTACGTCCTAAATAGACTACTAAATCATGTCATGAGCATCATGTTATGTCATAATGTATGTGATGGAATGTGTAGATAATATTTTTGTAACTTCAGATGATCAATAAAAATGTTAAATGATAAGCTATTTCATAACTCATATGTATCAAGTAGGGTTTAAAACTATTTTTTATTAAACAAAAATGCTATAGAACATGTATGTGGCGCTAAATAAAGTTTGGAATATGAGCTTTGTAGATAATAATGAAATACTTGCCGTGGAAAAATAACAGTGCTAGCCAACATTTCTAATAGCCTAGAAATAAAATTTGGAATCAAGTCCAGCTCAAAAATTTAAAATATTTTTGAGTATGTTGACAGCTAGACAATGTAATGTTTGGTGATTTATTTTGTGAAATCGAGTTAGGAGGTGGTGTCGTGTTTTAGCTCGGGTTCGTAGCCTCATATACCCTCTGGAGCATGGTGAAGATGGTTTAGGTTCTAAGCAACCGTTTAGTTTTTATAGGCGATTTAAAATTCGTGCAAGACTTCATTTCGGGCTAGTTCACCAGGTGAGAGACTGCCCTGGCCTAGCCGCCACTGGCTCTACTGCGTGGAGCCGCCGTTGCTCGCACGGGTGGGCGACACTGTAGCCTGCCTCGCCACGCTGCCGCACCGCCGACCCCTCCCAGCCATGAAGAAGACACTACCAAGCTCCAATCTGGCGTTTTTCTCGCTGTCGTGCCGATAAGGCCGCGTTCAACCGTGGACGAGGGCAGCCCTCCTACCGTCCCTCCCGAGCCAATTCACCTGCACCACTAGCTTTATCTTGCCTCCCTCTACACCTTGCGCACGCTAGTGTAACCGCTACCGCCTTCCCGTCGCCGCTGATGAGACTGTGCCACCGCGGTGCGCCGTCGCATGGCTCAGCCTCCCGTGGCCACACCTCCTTCGCCATCTTCCACCCCAACCGTCACCTCGGCTAGGTCCACGGTAGTCTACTGATGCTCCCTCGCTAGTTAGTTAGGTTCTTAGGTGCTCTGGTTCACCTGGGTAGCCACACCATCATCGCGGACTGCCGCGCGTCACTGCAGCTCGCTCCAGCGCGTCCCGCCGCCTCGCGTTGCTTGGTGTAGGTGGTTGGACCGTAGTCGAAGGTCGGCCCGACCGACGGGTGAGCGCGAGCCTCTGGTGGTCGACACGGTCATGCTATGTCGCCGTCCGCCGCGCCGCCGTGCACTGAGCCACCGGGGGTGCGCGCGGGTGAATTAGGGAAAGGACGGGGGGTTAAGTGAGAAGGTTTGAGAGAGAAGAAAATAGTGTTAGCACTTAGTTGTGATTTGGGAGAAGTGCGAGGCCTCTTTTGCAAAAGTGCCAATGCGTGCGGTACTCCCCCCGTCGTGGGCCGCCTCGTGAGCGGGCCGCTGCGCGCGCTGGGTCGTGCAGGCCGCACGTATGGGCCACGCGAGAGATTCACTTTTTATTTTCCTAAGGAATTAGAAATAGTTTTCTAATTTAATTTCTGAGCTGATCTTTGGTAATTAATATAAAATCATGTATGTGTTTAAAAATTGTGAAACAAATTTTGTTGGGTTCCTAAAATTGTGCTTTATCTGTTAGTGTCTTTAGTTCATGTTTATATGTGTTGACATTAGGGGCTATTAAATCATTTGAAAATGCTTAATAATATTAAGTTAATTATTGTAGGAATTTTTGTGGTGAATTGATGATAGTTTTGATCCTGAAATTTTTACAGCAGTTTCATTGTATTATTATGTGCTCACTGTAATTTTTGTAGCTTTACAATAGACTAAGCATTAGGGTAGTTAAATGCTCTTTGTTTCAATATACATTAAATCACTAGTAGAAATAAAAATATATCCTTAAATTGCCAAGCTAAGGGTTTGTTAGTTGAACCAAACACTTTGCTTGATGGAAATGATAGTTAGCTTAGTATCTTAGTCATTAGAGCTATCTTAGTAGCTTAGTATGCGTATTCTTATTTTAAGAGTTATTATTGCCTAAATGCTAAGTGTTGCATCATCATCGCTTGCATGTAGAGAAGGAGTTGGCGGAGATCGTGACCACCGGTGATCAAGAGTTCAAGGAGATCGTCGAGGAGTATGAGGAGGATATTCTCGTGCAGGAGGAGGTCCCAGAGCCGCCACTGATAGACTGAAAGGTCCTTGTTGGTTTTGGTAATTGAGTGACAACCTAGGTGGACTAATTGTGTTTATGTGAGATACACAGGTGATTAGTCCACAGGTACATGTGTATGAGCAACATATGCCATGGAGGTGAAAATGGCTTAGAAATGTTGCAAAGCTCACACATGTGATGATGAAGGAGCTTATTGCACATGAGACATGACATTGAGTCATGTGATCAAGGTGGAGAAGATCAAGACAAGACTTGGCTTGATGGACCGGTTGCAAGCGTGAAGGGCAAGTCAAAGGCTTTGGAGTGATGGACCGCGTGGCGGTGAAGCTTGAGCAAGACTTGGCGCCGATGGACGATAGCAACGGTGAAGAGCAAGTAGAGTCAAGATCGATGAACCAATATGATCATGTGATGATATGAAGTGGATCATATCATTGTTGATCGTGTTGGTGCATGTGTTGCATCGACATTGAAGGAGATGGAATGGAATGCGCAAGGCAAAGGTATAACCTAGGGCATTTCATTTCACCGGTCATAGGTGTGTAGAGAAGTTTATGACCGGGTTTAGGATAGATGGCCGTACTATCAAGAGGGGCAAACTTGTTTGCATATCGGTCATCTAGTGCCACTCGAGTGATCTAACTTTGCATCGTCGCTAGGATCGAGTGGCGTGGCAAGTTGAGTGGCTAACATCCTTTGGGAAATGATTGTGAAAATGCTAACACACATACACATGGTGGTGTACACTTGGTGGTGTTGGCACATTTACAAAGGAGGTGGTGTTTGCAGGGGTGAGATGGGTTTGGGTCCCTCTCTCCCTCCCGCCGAGCAGGATTCGGCGCTTTCGGGAAAATAGAATGCCTATTTTCTATTGCACCGGATGCAAGTTCTTGTGGTTAGCACATTGGAGCAAGGGTGATGAAGTTAGAAGTGAAAACGAGTTGATCGCGAAGATGCTGGCGTCGGTCCACCGACCGGACGCTGGTCATCGTGACCGGACGACTGAAAGTCAAGCGTCCGATCAAACCGACGGATCCTTTGTGTCGAGGTATTACACCGGACGCCGGTCTGTCTGCGTCCGGTCAAGGTGGACGGACGACGCGTCCGGTCGAAAAAATATGCCTCGGGAGCTTATTGAAAAGCGACCGGACGCCGGGGCTTCGGCGGCGTCCGGTCGATTCTACTGCGTCCGGTCAGTCAAGTGACCGTTGGGATCGGGGACGCGTGGCGTCAGTAGACGACCGGACGCCGAGGTCCAGCGTCCGGTCAACACGACCGGAAGCGTCCGGTCGGCCCGACCGTTGCCCAGTGAAGGGGTAACGGCTAGTTTAGCCCTTGGGGCTATAAATAGAAGTGGCCCTCGGCCATGGCTGGGGCGGAGCACCTCAAGGGACTTAGTGTCCATGCTTATGAGTGCTTGGGAGCCCTCCATCACACATATACTTGATAGTGATCATTCGATTGTGTGAGTGAGCGATTCTAGTGCGATTGCATCGTGAGGTTGCATCGAGTGGCACTAGGTGGTCGTGTTGCAAGCCGGTGGTGCTTGTTACTCTTGGAGGTTGCCACCTCCTAGACGGCTTGGTGGTGGTCTCCGTCGAAGCCCGCAAGAAGCTTGTGCGGCGCTCCAGAGAAGTGCTTGTGAGGGGCATTGTGCTCGCCCCGCGGGAGCCGCGAAGAGCAACTCTAGTAAAGCGTGTCATTGAGCTACCCTCACTCAAGGGGTAGGTTCTTGCGGCGCCCGACGTGCGGGCTTAGCGGGTGATGCTAATTAGCCGCCGAACCACCAAGTGAGCGGTCGACACAACGGGGACTAGCGTGTTGGCAAACACGTGAACCTCGGGAGAAAAATCATCGTGTCAACCTTGTTCTTCCCGTTGGTTTGCATCCCCATTACACAAGCTTGCAATTACTTATATATATATCTTAAGCTTGTGTAGTTGCTCTTATAATTAGATAGCTTGTGTAGCTAGCTAATTACCTTCATGCTTGTGTAGCATAGAAGTAGCTCCCTTGTGTGGCTAATTTGGTTTTAGTAACCTTGTTAGTCACATTGCTTAGTTTGTGTAGCTAAGTAT